GAAGAAAACAGTGCAAAAAAAAAAAAAAACCTCTGCTAAACATCTATTTTTGTGTTGAAGGTGAGTAAATGATGACAGAATTAATTTTACAAAAACGTTTGTAAATTAATTAAAAAAAAATTAAATACATTTAATTATATATATATATTAGCAATCATATTTCAGCTTGTTTGGTTTATATGTTGTGGAAAACCCTTTGGCAATGAAATCCGAAACAAAGGCTTTTTTTTTTCGGCACTTCAGATTCTCTGCGACTCCAGTCAAGTGAAGTTACTACCTCAGTTTTTTTTTAATATACTGCACTTCTTGCCCTCATGAACATGTTGAGAGCCTCTGAAATGGACCTGAGGAGTGCTACTGGTCCCTGAAAATAGTGCTGACTGTCGGGCCAAAAGGGGTGGGGGGTTGGGGGTCTGCTTTTATTCAGTGCCTAAGATAACAGCATACAGAATGATAGACTTCTCTGAATTGTTTGTTCCTCTCGCCCATTGTTCTTCCCTCCATTCAAGGAGTCTCTTAGCCGCACTTGAGGGAAGCCGTCACAGGTAGGAAGGCAACTGAGCTTATTCCCAGCACATGCTTGATTGCCTCCTTATAGACTCTCACTCTCAAGGCTTTTTCTCCTCTCGAATTTTCCAAGGATGTGAGCAGAGCCAGGCTCAGGGGCAGCGTCTGAAAAGGGAGTCTGTTTGAGAATCAAAGCCCACCGGGTCCACCCTCTGCACACGCACATAGGACGAGGGTGCATCAGACCCTGCCCACCGAAGAGCAAACTTCTTGTTTGCACCACTGCAGGTACAGCCTGTTAAAGCAACATAGCGAAACTACTTTTTCTTAAGACATAATAATTAACAAAATATCTAAACGTGCCTCATTTCTTCCAGGATTGCCGCCATTGGTTCTTGCTAACATTGTGCTTCTGTTGGGACTCTGATAATGAATGAACCTTGAGGGAAGATCTCATTTTAAATTAAATTAACTCAGACTAGACTTATACATATAAGAAGCTGTACAATGAGGGATTGTTGGCCGAAATCATTCCGTCTTGACTGTCTTGTCTCCTTCCTGTGGATTGTTCTTAATGAGGAGAGACTGACAGTGGAACATGCTGGGCTTTGGTACCAGATCTTTGACTATTTTAAAGACTTGTTAACTATTACCTACAACGTCAAAGGGTTTTAAGCTAACAAAACAATGCGGATGCTGACAAACGCGCTTTTACAGATCACATGAAAGGGATTGAGTCATGTCAGGCCAAAGAGTTAGAAGAAATCATATCAAATCTTATGTAAAAAGAACAACACTTGCATAATAGCTGTTTTGGGCCCTAGAGTAGTTGATTCAACCATTAGAAACATCAAGAAAAATCCTCAGTTTTTTATTAATAAGAACATTGAATGACATCATTTTGAAATCGGAGAATATTGTTGGTGTTTAGACTTGGCACTTATCACTTTCTGGACTTAACTGAGCTTTGGTGGCGGCCACATTCTTAAAAAATCTACTTAGTCCCAGAATAGATGTGGGATGTTTGAGAGACTGAAAGCGGTATTTTTATCACTTATAAAATGGCTAATAATATTTGTGAACAGTTTTAATGTCTTCACGGAGGATGTGTCACTTTATGAGTTCTCTACCTGTTTAAGGAATGTTGTAAAGATGTCCATCAGAAATTTTAAGTTGGTTTGATTGACGTTGTCTTTGGGAGAGAATAGATTCTGCTTAAACATTGTCTTTATGTGCTCTGTGTTTAGAAGTTGGACTGTGACCCCTCCATCTGTTCAGGCTAATCTGGCCATTATTTGGACACTGGCTTCTTTCTCATGCAGGATATACTCAGAGCTTAAGTTTAACACAAAAGGCATGATTTTAAATTAAAATACATTTGTAAATGCATCAACTGAACTGACTTTTTATAACATACTGGGTATTATTATTATTAGTGGCAGGTATCTAGACATTTATTAAATGTAGAAAAATATACTTGGTCATTCATGACATTGTGTCACTTTGAATAATCACCACTATACTGTATAAATGTGTATTGTCTCCTGCAACCATTTTTCTACATTATTGTGCTAGTGTCATGTCACAATACTCCACTGTTTTTTCTTCTTGCATAATACTTTCATACTGTATTTTCATAGAAGTGATTTGACCTCCAGCTACTGTGAATATATATAACATAACACTTTAGTTTTATGTTATATTTAAATTCAGATAGAATATATATATAAAAAAAAATATATATAGTGTAATTTGGTAACACTTTACAATAAGGTTCATTAGTTAACTACTTTAGTTAACATAAACTAAGAATGAACAATAGTTCTTCAGCATTTATTAATGTTAATGTTAATTTCAACATTTATTAATGCATTATTAAAATCAAAAGCGGTGCTTGTTAACATTAGCTAATGCACTGTGAATTAACATGAACTAACAATGAATGACTGTATTTTCATTAACTAACATTAACAAAGATGAATAAATACTGTAATAAATTTGCTGTTCATGGTTTGGTCATGTTAGTTAATACATTAATGTAACCTTATTGTAAAGTGTTACCTGTTAAATATATATATATATATACTGTGTATTGTATGTGTGTATATATATATATATAAATATATATATATATATACTATACCTGTTAAATATATATATATATATATACTGTGTATTGTATGTGTGTATATATATATATATAAATATATATATATATACTATTAATTTATTTATATATGGAAGTCCATGTTTTTAAAGAAATTAAAATAATTAGTAATTAATTAATGTAATTTTTTTTAAAGTGTACAATTGGAATTAATATATAGTGTAAATTTTATTTTTATTTTGTATATTTTATATATTACTTTATGTATATGGCATTCATAAGCAGGTTTTATATATATATATATATATATTGTAATTAATGTAATTTAATTTAATAGCCTCAATTTAATGGTCTCAAATGGTGTTTTGCTTTAATTGGACACATGCACACTCACACCTTAATGAAATACCTCCATTACAGTGTGCAAAATCTGCTTGTGAAAGCACTTCTAACACGGTCCATCACTAAATGACATCGAAAGCCACACCGGGCCACCGTGTACTGTGAGTGACAGCCTGAAGAGTGACATCATGAACCTGGACACCCCAAGCAGTGGCCAAATCCCCTCGAGATCACAGGATCTCTGTGCTTTAAAGCCACTGTTTATAATCTGACTTAACACTGAGTCACTCAGGGTTGACGCAGAAGATTCGAAAAAAATCTCAAAGAAATATGAGAGAGCAGCTTTTCGTGGCTTTTGTTGCTGGCCTTGACCCCATGTGTCTTCCCAGTCGAGAGAAACTATAAGCTTAGATCAAGGAAAACATTAAAGGGAGAGAGAGAGAATAAGAAGTAAATGTATTCATAAAATCAGTGGGCCTCTGGGAATGGGATTTATGTAGTGCAAGCTGTTACCTTTACAGGAGCCTGTTTAAGTTAAGCGAGAGACACTGATGAAATTTTGACAGAAATGTTTTTGTGTTGAAGCTGAAAGTAAATCCTGAAGTGAAAACAACGCAAAAAATAAATGTTTCTAAAGGAATTCTTTCCTGTCTCATCTGGAGCATTGCTTAATGGATAGCGGATTCCCCCCACATACACCCTCCCGAACACCATCCCATTCAAGTGAAGTTGTCCATTAATTAATCTCTATGTTTTTCTCTCCAAACACTTCTTCTGTGGTTTCTCTCTCCTTTCATGCTCGTTTTACACACACACTCGTGAGCAGCACTATGGGAAAGAAAGCCCTATAGTCTGGCACAAGTGTCTTAATTAAGGCAGAGAATCGCAAGCAGGCTCAGCTTATTTGGGATTCCTTTCTTGCATGCCGAAAGAAGCCAGAGAGAAGTGTGAAGTTGCACTTTAAGTTCAGCTTGTTTGCCGCTGTCAGTATAAGGTCTTAATCGATACAATGACTTGGAAAACTTTTCAAATATTTTACAATTTGAAATAATTCAAAATAAATATCATTTATAATTCTTTAAAATGTATTTATTTTTTTAGAGTGCATATTAAATCTTTTTTTTGGATGATCTCACTTCAACCAGAATTCTGTTTGATCTTGCTCGCTACTTTAAGACTTTACCGTTTCTCTAAAAACAACCATCTAAAAGGAGTCCGATAGTCTTGTAGCCAAGTCTTTGAATGTGATTTGGCACCATGTCTATTAAGAATACTGTTCTCTTTGAGACGACGCCTCTGAATTCATCCTCATTTTCACTCATCTTTTCAAACTGCCCCTTTTGTTCAAATCAAGAGATGGGAGAAACCATCAGTATGTAAATTGCATGCTCATATGAGACTTGCTCATGTCGCTCTATCTATTGAGCCACGCTTTCCATTCCCAGATTTATCCCCCAAAAAAGAGAAACAATTATTTGGATGACAAAAGAGTGGGGGGTAACGAGTCGCAACGCACACAAGAGAAATCACATTTGTGGTGGAATTACAGAATAATTACACATATGCCCGGATTGCCAGCATTCATGGGCTCTGACAATATTTTAAGGATTAGAGATGTTAGTGACGTGGCCCTCTGCCAGAGAAGGAGCTCGCGGATGCATTCAAATGCAAAAGCATACCGTTAGGAGGGGGTAATACCGTCTGTCTGTACCGCTTGATACACTTTTTGTGAAGGCAGCCTCATCCAACAGATTTGGCCACTTGATGCCCAGATCTGCTCTCAGAGAAGAAGTAGTTAACAAAGACATAAACAGCCTCTTTAGGATAAAAGTAATTATCTTGAAGCTGGTAAAAGTACTGCTTGACTGAAGCCTTCTGAAAACTATAACAGACAGCATATTTTTTTGTCTTGAACTTAATCTGAAATGTTGAAAGCATGACATGGAACAGTTTGATTTAGGGTGGGAAAGACTCTGAAAAGATGGTGTGTTTTTGCTGATTTCCAACAATGTCCATATCAATGTGAAGACCGAAAAAGTAGACTCTTTTAGCAGGAATATTCCAGGTTCAACATGAGTTAAGCTCGATTGAAAAAAAAAATCTTGATTTGGCCCTCATTTCCTTTAAAAAGGCAAAAATGGAGGTTATAGTGATGCAGGTACAGTGGACGTGATGGTGCCAGTTAAAAGCAGAAATATGAAGTTTGTAATTTTACAAAAGCACCTACATACTTTTTTTTTTGTTGTTAAACCTTCTGTATTATTTGAGCTATAAAGCTGTTTAAATCAACATTTTACAGTCATTTTAGAGTTGTAGGGTTTATGGCATTACGTTATCAAGGCAAAAAAGTTGTAAAATTGGATATAACTTTACAAAGAAACGGTTAAGTGATTTTATCACACTTACATCTTATTAAATTGTATGTTGTTCAGGTCTTGTGACTATACTGTGTAAAAAGGGGATTTAAAAATTTTTTTTTTTGCATTTACAGATTGACTCACTTTCATTAAAAGTGCCTCACAATATTTTTATATTTTTTATTTATATAATATTTTTAACAGATTTTGCTTTCTTTTTTTTTTTAAGAAAATGAGACCATTTGTTATAATCAATATTATGCCACAAATGTTTTTGATTGAGTTTAATTTGTATTCACGCTGATAATAATCACTCTTTGCATTTAGACGAAAAAACTGTGTTCATTTTTTAATTAAATCTGACTTTTCAAAGTTTTTAAAGCTGCAATCAGTGGTCTCTTGTCCGTACGGT